ATACTAGTGGACGACTGAGAACCATGAGGACTGGTTGTACATACTAGTGGACGACTGAGAACCATGAGGACTGGTTGTACATACTAGTGGACGACTGAGAATCATGAGGACTGGTTGTACATACTAGTGGACGACTGAGAACCATGAGGACTGGTTGTACATACTAGTGGACGACTGAGAACCATGAGGACTGGTGGTACATATTAGTGGACGACTGAGAACCATGAGGACTGGTTGTACTACTAGTGGCGACTGAGAACTATGAGGACTGGTTGTACATACTAGTGGACGACTGAGAACCATGAGGACTGGTTGTACATACTAGTGGACGACTGAGAACCAAGAGGACTGGTTGTACATACTAGTGGACGATTGAGAACCATGAGGACTGGTTGTACATACTAGTGGACGACTGAGAACCATGAGGACTAGTTGTACATACTAGTGGACGACTGAGAACCATGAGGACTGGTTGTACATACTAGTGGACGAACTGAGAACCATGAGGACTGGGTTGTACATACTAGTGGACGACTGAGAACCATGAGGACTGGTTGTGCATACTAGTGGACGACTGAGAACCATGAGGACTGGTTGTACATACTAGTGGACGACTGAGAACCATGAGGACTGGTTTTACATACTAGTGGACGACTGAGAACCATGAGGACTGGTTGTACATACTAGTGGACGACTGAGAACCAAGAGGACTGGTTGTACATACTAGTGGACGACTGAGAACCATGAGGACTGGTTGTACATACTAGTGGACGACTGAGAACCATGAGGACTGGTTGTACATACTAGTGGACGACTGAGAACCATGAGGACTGGTTGTACATACTAGTGGACGACTGAGAACCATGAGGACTGGTTGTACATACTAGTGGACGACTGAGAAACCATGAGGACTGGTTGTACATACTAGTGGACGACTGAGAACCATGAGGACTGGTTGTACATACTAGTGGACGACTGAGAACCATGAGGACTGGTTGTACATACTAGTGGACGACTGAGAACCATGAGGACTGGTTGTACATATAGTGGACGACTGAGAACCATGAGGACTGGTTGTACATACTAGTGGACGACTGAGAACCATGAGGATTGGTTGTACATACTAGTGGACGACTGAGAACCATGAGGACTGGTTGTACATACTAGTGGACGACTGAGAACCATGAGGACTGGTTGTACATACTAGTGGACGACTGAGAACCATGAGAACTGGTTGAACATACTAGTGGACGACTGAGAACCATGAGGACTGGTTGTACATACTAGTGGACGACTGAGAACCATGAGGACTGGTTGTACATACTAGTGGACGACTGAGAAACCATGAGGACTGGTTGTACATACTAGTGGACGACTGAGAACCATGAGGACTGGTTGTACATACTAGTGGACGACTGAGAACCATGAGGACTGGTTGTACATACTAGTGGACGACTGAGAACCATGAGGACTGGTTGTACATACTAGTGAACGACTGAGAACCATGAGGACTGGTTTTACATACTAGTGGACGACTGAGAACCATGAGGACTGGTTGTACATACTAGTGGACGACTGAGAACCATGAGAACTGGTTTGTACTATACTAGTGGACGACTGAGAACCATGAGGACTTGTTTTACATACTAGTGGACGACTGAGAACCGTGAGGACTGGTTTTACATACTAGTGGACGACTGAGAACCATGAGGACTGGTTGTACATACTAGTGGACGACTGAGAACCATGAGGACTGGTTTTACATACTATTGGACGACTGAGAACCATGAGGACTGGTTGTACATACTAGTGGACGACTGAGAACCATGAGGACTGGTTGTACATACTAGTGGGACGACTGAGAACCATGAGGATGGTTGTACATACTAGTGGACGACTGAGAACCATGAGGACTGGTTGTATATACTAGTGGACGACTGAGAACCATGAGGACTGGTTGTACATACTAGTGGACGACTGAGAACCATGAGGACTGGTTGTACATACTAGTGGACGACTGAGAACCATGAGGACTGGTTTTACATACTACTGGACGACTGAGAACCATGAGGACTGGTTTTACATACTAGTGGACGACTGAGAACCATGAGGACTGGTTTTACATACTACTGGACGACTGAGAACCACGAGGACTGGTTTTACATTCTAGTGGACGACTGAGAACCGTGAGGACTGGTTTAACATACTAGTGGACGACTGAGTACCATGAGGACTGGTTTTACATTCTAGTGGACGACTGAGAACCGTGAGGACTGGTTTAACATACTAGTGGACGACTGAGAACCGTGAGGACTGGTTTAACATACTAGTGGACGACTGAGAACCATGAGGACTGGTTGTACATACTAGTGGACGACTGAGAACCATGAGGACTGGTTTTCAAGGAAAAGGGAAAATGAGAATGTGGCATCTCTGCTTTATAATCAAAACCAAGTTACTGTGAAACACGTTAGTTACTCTGCTATGACAGAGGAAATGTTAGAGCATTGCAATATTTTATTAAATGTCTGAATAAGTCTAATTTTCATAAATTTGTTGGATTTTTTAGATAAAAATTACCTCCTAAACGGCTTAAGGGAAATGTATAATAAAAATAAATGCCGCAGATTTTAGACGTAGACTTTCGGTATCATACCCAATTTTCTTATTGCTCCAGAAAAATAAATTGGATACTACAAATTATTGGAATGGATAGAAATAGGTATTTTCCAATTTTTGCGCGGAAATCAATATTCCAGTTTATATGATAAAGTGGTAAATAGGACGTAGCCAGTAAAAGTGCAGACTTTCCTTTCCTAAGTAAGTTAATAAGTTTATTCAGGTATACACAAATACAGTTACATAGATTATCATACATAGCAGCATATGTGTAGAGAACCTGGGATGACCCAAGAAAGTTAGACAATGATTTATTTCCATTGGGGTTCTTTATTTAAGACACACCATCGTAGGAAGTTTGAAGCTGATCTGAAGACTCATTCTACTGCTATTGCATGGAAACCACCAATTTCCCATTTTATTATATTGCTAGTAAACTGTACTGAAACTATCTCTTGGTTAGATGCCGCAGCGTTTAAAATTTTTTAACCATGAGGCGCACCAAGGTTATTACACAGAAAAACAAGTCCCACACAAATTTAAAAATAAAACTGTTACCTACGCAGTCAAACAACAATTTTAATAATAATAATAATAATAATAATAATAATAATAATAATAATAATAATAATAATAATAATAATAATAATAATAATAATAATAATAATGTCTTTATTTACTACCAGTACATGTACAAGGTATACAGACCAGGTATACAGACGAAAGCAAAAGACTTGGCAGACGATGCACCATCCCCCCAATGAAAAGCAGGTGTGTCACTAGCACGTTAAGAGACCATACAATAAGTGTCAGGGGCCCGAGACTGTTCAGTTGCCTCCCAGCATACATAAGGGGGATTACCAACAGACCCCTGGCAGTCTTCAAGCTGGCACTGGACAAGCACCTAAAGTCGGTTCCTGACCAGCCGGGCTGTGGCTCGTACGTTGGTTTGCGTGCAGCCAGCAGTAACAGCCTGGTTGATCAGGCTCTGATCCACCAGGAGGCCTGGTCACAGACCGGGCCGCGGGGGCGTTGACCCCCGGAACTCTCTACAGGTAAACTCCAGGTAAACCATAGCTGACATCAATGACATACTGCTATATAGAAAGCCGTTTGTTATGCAGAGCATTTCTGGAAAATTAGGTCAGTTTTGTCCCAGGATGCGACCCACACCAGTCGAACTACACCCATTTACCCATTTTACTAATGGTGAACATAGACAGCCGGTGTAAGGAAACACGTCCAATGTTTTCACCCTTGCCGGGAATCGAACCCGGACACCTCAGTGTGTGAAGCGAGAGCTTTGCCTACCAGGCCACGAGCCGCGAGTTAAATTAAGTAAAATACACGAACTCTGAAAGTTTGAAGGTGGTGAGAAGAGGCATTCTCAATATCACCCGGCAACTGATAGTGTTGCTTCATAATCTTATAAAAGCCAGACCTTCCTCTTGGAACGATGCATCAACTCTGGAAGCTTGAAGCAGACCAGAGGAAGTGTTCTCATATCCCCGGCCGGGATTGAACCCGCGGTCATAGAGTCTCAAAACTCCAGCCCGTCGCGTTAGCCACTAGACCAGCTAGCCACAATAAGATTCTTATTGTGGCTAGCTGGTCTAGTGGCTAACGCGACGGGCTGGAGTTTTGAGACTCTATGACCAAGTGTTCTCATATTATGGACGAAAACACTGGAGGAAGGAAAGATGGGAAACATTGACAACCATTACAGGTTTAACCTTATCATGGAACACCTCATTAGAACAATTATCATTTAGATGTAATTATAGAAAATAGCTGCTGTATCAACTGTCTGCTGTATCAACTGTCTGGGTCCATTGTTCAGTGCAGTGACTTTAGAGAATTTTAGATATTTAAAGAGATATAATTATTAAGTTTCCACATTAAACTCCGCTTATCTAGTGTCAAGAACCTAAGAAAATTTTGATAACAAGGTCCTACACATGTTTATGGGTAATATGTATGACCAGCCGGGCTGTGGCTCGTACGTTGGTTTGCGTGCAGCCAGCAGCAACAGCCTGGTTGATCAGGCTCTGATCCACCAGGAGGCCTGGTCACAGACCGGGCCGCGGGGGCGTTGACCCCCGGAACTCTCTCCAGGTAAACTCCAGGTAATTATTTAGAGAATAAAATGTAAATGTTTTGATTCATCACAGACGAAGCAAAATAAATTAGTTACTCGTTGGAGAAGCCAACTTGAAAATTTCTCTAATTTTATTATAACATAAAAATATAAAAATACCTACCCTCTTCTTAAATATTTATAGTTAAAAAAATATAATATATTCGTCCACAACCCAATGAAAATTGAGCTATACAGTGTTATGGTAAATTATAATAAGCTGACAATAATGTTTCCTTGGCAGGTGTTATTGCGTCAACGAAAATGGTGAAAGATTGTTTGGTGAGGGATCTGTCTCTGACCAGGACATGATCAACTGTGGTGAGTCTAATAACCAGTTATTGTACTTTAACAGATCAACAACAATCTTCCTTCCATTGGTTTACATAACCCTTGTTGCAGAGGCTCAATTTCCATTTGAAAATTAGTCCCTTTGTTCCAAAAGTTTCTTGTTTTTTTATATCAGCTGTTACAAGGATAAAGAATCTTGGACTACGGATATTCACACACAGTTCTCAAAATGTGAATAAAACACCTATAGTTTAAACGTGATTTATTTTACACTTCCGCATTTTTCCTCTGCAGCAAACTGGTATTGTAATTTGTAAATAAGGTATCTGACCTTCAGTGTCTTATATCGTTACTACATATACATGCATATATATATATATATTATATATATATATATATATATATATATTATATATATATTTTATATATATATATATATATATATATAATATATATTATATATATACCACTGTGAAAGAATAGCAAAATTCCAAGTGCTTTCGTGACTTCTCACATTATCAAGGAACTATTATGGACTAAACATCAAAGGCATACAAAGGGTCAAGACTACACCTCACCATCACATCCCACAACAAAGCAACACCTCACACACGCGTGACGACACCCGACTCTGTGAAACCCACCTAATACTCTGCCCAAGAATTAAGATTTATTACTTGTCTAATGTATCATTAAATTCTTCCCAAATTTTATTAAATATAAATAAATCCAATTCATATAAACCAAAGGAAATATTCATATTATTTTCAAAACAGCTTTTTATGAAACATTATTCAATTATATTCTAATCGATCATGGATTTGCTTGAAACAACTTTCTCAGCCTTTTGAAAATCATCAAGTGGAACTTTTACAAAACTTCCAGTTGATGATTTATTAAGTTTCTTAACTTAAACTTATTAAACTTATTAAACTTTGCATTGCTGATGCAAAATTTGTATTTTTTGATAAGTTTTATATTCAGAAGTTTGGCATGGTTATAGGAAATCCTCTTTCACCTATTCTTAGTAACTTATACAATCCTCCCTAATAGAGCTAAATGGTTCAGATATCTTGATGATATTTCGTGTCTTATGCCTAAGGATGTAGATATAAACCATTTCCTTGTTAAATTAAATAGCTTAGCCCATTCTATATTATTATTATTATAATCAAAAAGAAGCGCTAAGCCACAAGGGCTATACAGCGCTGCAGGGTAGGGAAGGAAGCGAGGGTATTGGGCGGCAGAAGGGGGAAGGGATGATCAGTAGGTTACAGAAAACAGCGGGGCAGGGGATAGTGCGGGGGTAGAGGGTAGCAAGAGATTGAGGTAGAAAGGGCAGAAGGTATCAGAGTTTGTGAAGTCAGTTGTTGTCAAAAAGTCAATGAGAGAGTCCGGATGAAAGGTGGGTCCATCAGCGAGAAGGGAAGGTAAAGAGAGAGCAGTGGAGCGAAGACGATGACGGAGGTAAATTATGCTTGCTCGTTGATAAAGTGGGCAGTCTAACAGAATGTGGTTGACTGATGATGGAACCTGACAATTCTCACAGAGAGGAGCAGGGCGCCTCTCCATGAGACATCCATGAGTAAGACGAGTATGGCCAATGCGAAGACGGGAGACAGTAGTCTCTCAACCTCGACACTGGTGACAAGAAGATGGCCAGTAACCTATACTCGGTTTAATAGATTGAAGTTTGTTACCGAGCAGAGTAGACCAACGTTGTTGCCAACGGGTGTGAAGGTGGGTAGCTATTGCAGCAAAATAGTCCATAAATGGAATACCTCTGTATGAAACTGGTAGGTCATGTACTGCTGACCGCGCAGCAGTGTCTGCCTATTCATTACCCTGTACGTCAACATGACCAGGGACCCAACAAAAAACAATATCTTTATGCTTGGTAAAGATGCGGGGTAGCCAAAGTTGGATACGGAGGACTAAGGGGTGAGGTGTATCAAATTTCTGTATAGCCTGTAAAGCACTAAGGGAGTCTGAGACAACCACAAATGATGACACAGGCATAGATGCAATACGGATAAGTGCTGCAAGAATGGCATACAATTCAGCAGTAAAAATACTAGCCGAAGATAGTAAATGCCCTCGTACGACGCTGTCCGGAAACACTGCTGCGAATCCTATGCCGTCAAAAGACTTAGAGCCATCTGTGTACACTGCAATTGCATGAGAATGAGAGTGGAAGTGGTCAAGAAAAAGAGAGCGGGAAGTGACCGTAGACAATTGGGCTTTCGAGCAAGGGAGAGAGCAAGAACAGACTCGAACAGCTGGAGCTGCCCAGGGGGGTAGGAAAAGTGAGATGCTACATGAACATAGAAAGGTGGTAATTGAAGAGAAGACAAGAGCGAATGTAGGCGAAGAGAGAAGGGACGGAGTAAACAGGGGCGGTGAACAAATAAAGAAATGTCTACTAATATCAGTGACCATTCTATAAATGGAAGGGTTGGGGAGATCATGAGAGCATACATAGTAGCGAAGGCAATGGGCATCACGACAATCAGATAAGGATGGAACGTTCGCTTCTGCATAGAGGCTCTCAACAGGGAAGAGCGAAAAGCACCAAGGCATAAACGTAATCCTTGGTGATGAATGGGGTTAAGGCTAGAGAGAGTAGCAAGAGAGGCCGCTGAATAGATCTGATCACCATAATTAAGTTTCGATAAAATGAGGGTGGAATGTAGGTCAAGGAGAGTTCGACAATCAGCCCCCCATGAAAGATGAGCAAGGGTTTAAAGAAGGTTCAGTCGGCTGTGACAAGTTGCCTTCAGAGAGGTAATGTGAGGTTTCCAGGATAACCTACGGTCAAAGAGGAGGCCCAGAAACATGACTGTATCACGTTCAGGGATACGGGAGCCATAGAGGTACAAAGGATGATCGGAGATGACAGAGCGTCTAGTGAAAGTAATTTGGTGAGTTTTGGTACTGGGAAATTTAAACCCATGTGTCGTGGCCCAATTGGAAACACGGTCGACCGCATGCTGGAGAGAGCCCATTCTATAAACTTTACTCATTGCTTTTTCTAGATGTTTTAATTATTAAGGGTAACAATGATCTGAAATTTAAAATTTACAGAAAACCTACAAATAACTGTTCCTATGTACACTATTATTCTACATATCAATGTTTTTGAGAGCTTTGCGTATTTGTAGTCCAGAGTTCATAGATGAAGAAATATCCAAAATTTATGAAATTGCTAATGATCTGAAATACCTGGAGTTTACCTGGGCAGAGTTCCGGGGGTCAACGCCCCCGCGGCCCGGTCTGTGACCAGGCCTCCTGGTGGATCAGAGCCTGATCAACCAGGCTGTTACTGCTGGCTGCACGCAAACCAACGTACGAGCCACAGCCCGGCTGGTCAGGTACCGACTTTAGGTGCTTGTCCAGTGCCAGCTTGAAGACTGCCAGGGGTCTGTTGGTAATCCCCCTTATGTATGCTGGCAGTTGAACAGTCTCGGGCCCCTGACACTTACTGTATGGTCTCATAACGTGCTAGTGACACCCCTGCTTTTCATTTGGGGGATGTTGCATCGTCTGCCAAGTCTTTTGCTTTTGTAGTGAGTGATTTTCGTGTGCAAGTTCGGTACTAGTCCCTCTAGGATTTTCCAGGTGTATATAATCATGTATCTCTCCCGCCTGCATTCCAGGGAATACAGGTTCAGGAACCTCAAGTGCTCCAGTAATTGAGGTGTTTTATCTCCGTTATGCGCGCCGTGAAAGGTTCTCTGTACATTTTCTAGGTCAGCAATTTCACCTGCCTTGAAAGGTGCTGTTAGTGTGCAGCAATATTCCAGCCTAGATAGAACAAGTGACCTGAAGAGTGTCATCATGGGCTTGGCATCCCTAGTTTTGAAGGTTCTCATTATCCATCCTGTCATTTTTCTAGCAGATGCAATTGATACAATGTTATGGTCCTTGAAGGTGAGATCCTCCGACATGATCACTCCCAGGTCTTTGACGATGGTGTTTCGCTCTATTTTGTGGCCAGAATTTGTTTTGTACTCTGATGAAGATTTAATTTCCTCGTGTTTACCATATCTGAATAATTGAAATTTCTCATCGTTGAACTTCATATTGTTTTCTGCAGCCCACTGAAAGATTTGGTTGATGTCCGCCTGGATCCTTGCAGTGTCTGCATTGGAAGACACTGTCTTGCAGATTCGGGTGTCATCTGCAAAGGAAGACACGGTGCTGTGGATGACATACTTGTCTATGTCAGATATGAAGATGAGGAACAAGATGGGAGCGAGTACTGTGCCTTGTGGAACAGAGCTTTTCACCGTAGCTGCCTCGGACTTTACTCTGTTGACTACTACTCTCTGTGTTCTGTTAGTGAGGAAATTATAGATCCATTGACCAACTTTTCCTGTTATTCCTTTAGCACGCATTTTGTGTGCTATTACGCCATGGTCATACTTGTCGAAGGCTTTTGCAAAGTCTGTATATATTACATCTGCATTCTCTTTGTCTTCTAGTGCATCTAGGACCTTGTCGTAGTGATCCAATAGTTGAGACAGACAGGAGCGACCTGTTCTAAACCCATGTTGCCCTGGGTTGTGTAATTGATGGGTTTCTAGATGGGTGGTGATCTTGCTTCTTAGGACCCTTTCAAAGATTTTTTATGATATGGGATGTTAGTGCTATCGGTCTGTAGTTCTTTGCTATTGCTTTACTGCCCCCTTTGTGGAGTGGGGCTATGTCTGTTGTTTTTAGTAACTGTGGGACGCCCCCCGTGTCCATGCTCCCTCTCCAAAGGATGGTAAAAGCTCGCGATAGGGGCTTCTTGCAGTTCTTGATGAACACGGAGTTCCATGAGTCTGGCCCTGGGGCAGAGTGCATGGACATGTCATTTATCGCCTGTTCGAAGTCATTTGCGTCAATATAACATCAGATAGGTTTGTGTTAACCAAATTCTGTGGCTCTCTCATATAAAATTCATTTTGATCTTCGACTCTCAGTCTGGTTAGCGGCTTGCTAAAAACTGAGTCATATTGGGACTTGAGTAGCTCACTCATTTCCTT